TTGAGATGAAAATAATCGTTAATTTATATACTTGTACATAAAATATGTAGATATTTCTTGTTGAATATAATGTGTATTAAAAAAAAAAAAAAAAACTAAACAAATACAATCCCTTCTTTTTTTCTCGTCAAACAAATCCGTTAATTATTAGTTACGTTCATTTTACTTTTGTTTTTTTTTTTTTCAAATATAATATGTCAAAAATATCTAAATATATCAAATTATATATCAAATTGTTGTTAAAATATCTAAATATATCAAAAATATCTTTTTCAGCGAGATAATAAAACTGCAACAAAACTTTTTGATTATAAGACGAAGAATTTCACGTGTACGGAATGCGAACAATTAATATTGATTTAATCAAAAAAAATAAATAAATGCATTTTATACTTTCTTTTCCCAAAATAAATTAATTACACATTCACGCTTATTCTTTTTTTTGGAGGCTTTATTTTTATTCTCAGTTAAAAAGTTGTTTTATAAATTATGTATAAATAACGTACAATACATATATACATATATATGTATATATCTATTTATATTTTTATCGATTTATATAAATTATTCGTGTATCTTTCTAAATTTGATTTAAATTAATTATATAATCATATGTAATTTGTTAATTTATTTTCTCTCAAATTGCATATATTTCTCTACAACTATATTTATCTTTGTTAACAAGTAAAACGAATTATACGTTGTATTATAATCCTACACATGCACAATAATCGAACGTGTTACATGTATATCTTTTATATGTATATGCTAAAAAAAAAAAAAAACAATTTTTACGAATTTGGCGTCGGACGTTAAAAATTCAGAATCGTTTCTTTGATCATAATTGCGAACGTGTCGTTCGCTAAAGCTGGGGACGTACATTTGATTATCTTTCTCTCAACAGAGAGACTCGCATTGTTTCACGTAATAACACAGAATGTGTATAATATATATATTCTAAAGAAAATATAGTCTTGCTTATCGCGTGTTTTAACACTGTGATAAACGGCGCGATAAGCGAGAACAACGATTAATTATTATTTATTTACCTAATTTTTTTTTGTTTTTTTAATTTTTATCTTTGATTAGCGATATATCAGCCTGCTAATGTTTTTGCCGCATTAGATGCCGCTGATTTTACGTGACGTTTCACGTCGATTAGTTTTATTTCTAACAATCGTTAAACTAAACAGAGTCATTTTCGACGCCGCGCGAATTTTTACAGACAATGCGATACAATTGAACCAAGGAGAAGAGTATCTCACTTTACCATCGCTTTGATGTTCTTCGGAAGATTCGGTATGGAACCCTTGTTGGCGCTAGCGGCTGTGGGTCTCATGAAACTGTGACTCTTCGTCCCGGCTCGCGGTTGTATCAGTCTGCTCTTCGTGACGGCGGACGTCTTGCTGTCGCCGGATGTTGCTCGATTTCCTAAGATCGATTGCTGACCGATACTGCTGCCGCTGCTGCTGCTGCGCGAAGCGATCGGTCGGCCTCTTGTGGTCTTTGGCACGTCATGCGTCTAAATATTGACACACAAGATATATCTCGAAGAAAATCATTTTCTCAAAAAAAAAAAAAAAAAAAAAAAAANAANAANAAAAATTGTTAACGTCAGCCTACAAATGTATTCATTTGACTTAAATAAGGTTCTCTTGTTCCTTCCGATTTTTTTTATTTTTTATTAGAATTAGATTATATAACAAAATAAAACAGTGAAACCTCGTTTATCCGAAACGAATTCAGGCCCGATCGCTATTATACAAACCGATAGTTCGTATTGTACGAACCGATAGTTCGTATAAACAGAGATCGGGCCTCGGTTAGGTCCGAACCATCTTGTTCCCGCTGAACTATAATACTGGAAGAAATAATACTGGACTTTAAGAAGTAAAATTTAAATAAAAAAGAATATTTTATGAAAGTCAGTTAATTTCTTTTTACTCTTTAAAAGATGTGAGATTCGAAAGTTTTGACGAACACGATTCGAAAAAGTATTAACTTACATATTGATATACGCGACAAAATTTTAATTTGACATTGAGATTCATCTCTTCGAGAATTTTATTAATTCTGTGTTTTTATCCTTACCGATAATTATCGAGTACTAAAAGATTGCAAAACATTCAATCTATCAATATCGCGGTATGGAATAAGATTGCAGAAATAAAAAATTTAATGCAAACCAACTCTTTTTTTATAAACAATAAAAGTATATGTAAATATACGGTCAATCAGAGCCATTCGCTGGATGTTTTTTTGCGATGATATTCTTGTATATATGTGTATACACATATATACGTGTAAATCTTAGTTTTTTTATTGAGAATTTTCAATTCCCAAAATTTATATAGGATGCTAATTTTCCATCTCATGTATGAGAGACTCCGAATACCTCCATAATTAATTAATTTAAAAAAAAAACAAGAATTAAGGAAATGGCAATAACAATTATAATAATATATAATATAATAATATAATTAATTGATAAAAATAAAATAATATAATAATAATAATAATAATAATATATTATTGATATAATTAATTAATTTTATATTATAATTAATAATTGTACCCGAACACATCTGGTGTTAGCTTGTTATCGCCATTTCCTTAATCCTTCTTATTTAAATACTCAACAAGCTGAAAACGTAATAATTAATTTAAAAAACTTTTCTTTTTTTTATATTTTCTTTCTTTTAAAAATAAAAAAAAACTAAAAAAATTCAATTCAATAAAAAAAAAAGAATCATTTCCAAGTGATACCTCCGTTATCTTTCGGACGCTCCTCGCCGCTCCCGGTCCGACGCTACTTCCACTGCTGCTGCTTCTGCTTGCGGGTATTCTGCTAACGGAAGCTTGGCGTGGATTCGGCCGTCTCTTGTCGATCGTCGCGTCTTTCGGCGGCAACGGACTGCCGCTCTTTCTCAAATCTTTAGTGAGCGCGCGAATGGCCGAAGTGTAACTACGCAGGTGCGCGTGATTAGTAGCCAGATTTCGCACCGTGTTCACGGACGTCGCGCTGTTCAACGAGCTGCGCGAGCTACGAAGACTGCTTCTGGAACCCGAACGTTGCACCTCGCTCCTCAACGCAATTGCCGAATTGCTCGAACCTACTACGCTCGTCGGCCTCTTCAATTCCGTTTTCTTCGCCGCGGTTTCTCGCTTCACGCTCGCGCTGCGTTTCGGCAAAAAACTCGATTTTTCCGGCGCGTTGTTGTTCCTCGTCGTTTCCTTCTTCTCGAACACTTTGCCGCTCGACGACTTGAGCCTGTCAACAACGGACGATCGTCGACGATCGTTGTTCAGATCGTCGTCGTCGTCGTCGTCCATCGTCGCGCCGACGATGTTTCGCCGATGATGCCGCAACCCCGCGCCGTTGCTGTAAACGCCTGTTGTAAGCTCAGCCGGCGAGCATCGCGTCGACGAGTCGTGCGTATCCGTCTCGTAATTGCCCGAGGACGTTTCCTGACTCAGAGTTTCCGACACGAGGCTCTGAGTTTCTTCGAAACCCTCGTCGTTCAACTCCTGATCCCGGACTTTTCCAAACGACGGCGACGACGGAGTTACGTTTATGTCCGGGATGTATCTGTTGCTGCGAAACATCAACGAGTTTTGTCGCGCGACAACCGACTGATCGGTTTCGTCCGTCGATCGGACGCGCGCGATCTTCTTCTTCGCGTCGTTCTTCTTCGCGCCGTCGACGCGATTCGGATTCGCGAACTTATCGTTCTCGACAATATTCGTGACGGGCGCGTTGTTCGTTGGATGATCCTTTCGGTCCGTCACCTGATTCACCTGACTCGGCGGATTGCTGGTCACTCGGATCAGTTCTTTCACTTGACTCGGATCGATCATGCTTCGCGATTGTTCGCGACTGGTTACCGCGCGCTCGGTGAACACGGTGACGGGTTCGCGCGGTCGAGATTCCTGCATAACCGGACTCAGAACGGTGTTGGTCACCGCGATCACCGGTGGCGGTTGGCTGACCACCGGAAGCCGCGAGGTTCTGTGCTGCTGAGATGCTGCTGCGTTCGTTGCGCCCGAGACGGGAGACGTCTGATGCAGGAGACGTTGAAGATCCTCGCCGGAACGAGCGATCTCGGCGAGCGCGGCGTCGATGTCGCGCGACAACATCGACGAGGAACTGGTGTCACGTCGTTTCAGCTTGTCCTGCCAGACCCGCAGCATCGCGTCCTCGTCATCTTGCACGTGAACGTTAGTTCTTGAATCCTCGTTGTTGTTGTTCAGAATCAAAGTGCTCGGACGTTGCGCCGGTTTCTCGTCGTAGACCAACTCGGGACTCGAAGCGTCGGATTTTTCTTTATCGCCTTTGTCGGCGTCCTGGGTCTTCTTGTATCTGCGAGTACGCCGCGTAGCCGAGAATCTGTCGAAGTTACCTAGAGAACAATAAAAAACGTGTGCCGTTGCTCACATATGTAATAATATTGTTACTTCAACAGTTTTTAATAATTAAAAAAATAATTTTAAAAAATTAAGATTTGTAGGCAGATCTACCACCTCATTAAGACTCGAGGATGGAATTTTACATTTAAGAAGACTGCATTTTTTATAAAAAAAAAAAAAAACACCTCCATCAGCATAGCGTATTTATTTTATTTTACTATTTATATTTTTTCATATATTGTTAACACTGAAGATGACTCAAGTTAACCCTTTGCACTCGAGCGGCGCCGATTCGGCGCCCGGCCAATTTGAAGTGGCAACTCGAGCGGCGCCGATTCGGCGCCCGGCCGATTTGAAGTAGAAACTCGAGCGGCGTTGCTTATAAATGTCTTTAAAGCATTTGTAAAGTGTTCCCCGAATTTGACCGAAACCGTCTCGAGTTGCTGGTTAGCGCAAGCGAAAAAGGCCTCGAGTGCAAAGGGTTAAGAGTTGAAACGTTTGTTAATTGTAGTTGTAATTTGATAATTATATTATATATATATATATTTTTCCTAACACCCATTTATGCTCGTTTATGACCTTACTTGAATTTAGTACTTAACCTTTTCGCTCCGGGGATTTTTCCTTTAAAATCGACCTCGCATTTTAGCTGAAAAAGTTAATAATAACCTGCTACCCCCCCCCTTCAAAGTTAATTTTGAAGGTCAAAGAAGTAACCAGGATTTTTTTCAATTTTTTTCCTAAATTTAGCGCATTAAATTGACCTTATAAACATCTATTACGTTCGCTTTTCTTGCTGGTCCATATATGGACCAGTCCCGGAGCGAAAAGGTTAAAATTAAGATTCTTTCTCTCTATCTATCTTTTGGTAAAACAAAATTCAAGTTGTCTTAAAAAAAAAAAAAAAAATGTCTACCTGCGCCAAAATCAACAACACTGGAAGCGATCGGTTTTAAGATCGCAGTTTTCGTATCTCGATTCTGAAGAGAGCTGCTGCAACGTTCTCTCTTGCACGGTTCTTTCTCGACGGGTTTCACATCCCTCGGCGGGCTGAACAATCGTCTGGTTGCCGGCGGCGTTTCTATATTGTCCGAATCGATTTCAATTTTGTCGCTGATTCTTTCCTCGTCCGTGGTCTTTTTGCTGAGTTTGGAAAAACGTCGATTCGCAGGCGGTTGCGCACCCGCGTAAGGTTGTCGAAGATAGATCGTTAACTCATCTTGCTGGGTGCTCGAACTTAACGCGTCGCTGATCTTGCTCTTCTTTCTGTCTTCTTCTCTGATCGCCTGTAAGGTACGTATTGTGTTTTAAAAGTTTTTTTATAGCTCATTGAAAATTTCTAAGAAATATATATAAGGTGTGTATACGAGCTTGATCGCAGGATTTTTTGTGCGAACATCCGCAAGTATATATATATATATATATATATTTATATTTATATTTATATTTATATTTGTATTTGTATTTGTATTTGTATTTGTATTTATATTTATATTTATATTTATATTTATGTTTATGTTTATGTTTATGTTTATGTTTATGTTTATGTTTATGTTTATGTTTATGTTTATGTTTATGTTTATGTTTATGTTTATGTNTTATGTTTATGTTTATGTTTATGTTTATGTTTATGTTTATGTTTATGTTTATGTTTATGTTTATGTTTATGTTTATGTTTATGTTTATATTTATATTTGTATAAAATTATATATATATAAATTATATATATATATATATATATATATTTATTTATTTATTTATTTATTTGTGAACACGTATATATATTCATATATATATATACTTGCAGATGTCCGCACAAAAAATCCTGCGATCAAGCTCATATATACCTTATATATATTTTTCCTCCTTATATAAATTTATTTAAATTCAAATCAAAATGTAGTTTAGTTAAGATTTTTTGATGAGTTACAGTATTTTAGTGAATTAAATAGTGAATTATATATATATTTTTATGTATATAATTCACTATTTTATATATTATTTTATATATTTTATATATTATTTTATATATATATATATATAATTCCCATTTATATATTTCACCTTATATATATTTCTTAGTGTATTAAAATTTAAAAAAAAATTATCTTTACACAATAAAATTTATATAATTCAAAGTAAATTTAAATTATATAAAAAAGATTAAAAAAAAAACTGATATAAAAAAAGATATTTGTAATGTATAATTAAACCTGTAGCGGACTCGAAGCAAGAACGTTCTCCGAGCTGTGTCTCGATCTAAGTCTACGTATATAACGCGGATCAGTCTCTTCTGTGCTATTCGATACGTTTAAACTCGACTTTCGCCAAGGAGATTTATCCTGCGACGAGAGCGGTTGAGCTTCTGAAAAAGCAAAACAAAAGTTTGTTTAGTTCAGTTCTTTGCTCATAATCAATAAATATAAATAATGCAATATAAAAATATCGCTTTAACTCAGAGTCTAAATTGAAACAAAAAACAAAATAATTTGTTTAATATATTTTATAATCAATATTCATATTTTATATTATTTTATAATATTTTATATTATAAAATAATATATAATAATATATAATATTTTATATTATTATATATAATTGAAATACATATAATTCACGTACCTTCGATGGCTTCCATTGTGCGCATCACATCCGTTTTTTCGACGGACGGTCGCCAATCGTAAACCTCGGAAAATCCTTCGCGCGCGGAACGATCTTCCGTCAAGGTATTCATCGTGCAGCTTTTGCCTTCACTTTCTTCATACGAAACAGAGAAAAACAATCCATTTTCTCGGGGTTAACTTTTCATAAGAAAAATCTACAATAACATTAAAATCACACACACACACACACTTACCCGAATCTTCAAAGGACCTTCGATTTGCTTGATGCTTGAGTTGTTGCGCTTTTCTCTGAAGCTGCTCGCTCGTGTTGTTCTCTTTTTCGTTTTCCGACAACCACGCTTCGATGTTCTGCCGCCACGCTTTTCTAATTTTTTTATATAAACACAACATTACAAAAGTTTGAATTTCACAGTTCGCTGATAATTTTTATTTCGCAACGTTTCTTTGTTTGTTCATTAATTATTTTTACCCGGTTGATTTGGTTTCTTCCTCTTGCAAAAACGGTTTGCTCTCTGCTAGAGGAGACGGCGAGCTCGGTCGTTCCCTGTCTCCGGAAAAATCGGCGTTCAAAAGATCTCCTCTTCGCGACTGACCGCGAGCTCTTCGCGCCCATGATCGATCTTTGATGACATTCAAATAAAAAATTTCACTTTAAAACCGCGCCGTCCGTCGTTAATTGCAACAATAGGGTAAAAGACCCAATTACCGTCACCTGTCCAATTACTGTCACCCTAAGCTATTTTATTTAAAATATTAAATAAATCCTAAAAAAAGTTATGCACGAAAACAATCTAACATAGAATTTTAAGCAGGGACTTATTACCGGTATGATTTCAATACCGGTATTATACTAGAGATTGTATACCGTTACCGTTATAGTACCGAAACCGATATGTACCGAAAACCGTAATAAAATACCGGTATTATTTTGGTATTCCTACTAATAGTATTCTTAAAAATTAAATAAGTTAATTAAAGCAATTTTTGTTGCATAATTAATCTTCCTACCGCTTATTGGACTTATAGACCGACAAAATATAAAGACGCTTTTTTTATAAACCAATTGAAGCAGCTGTTTATTCATGCTTTCTTTTATTACGTAGCATGACTAATGTAAAGTGAAATTTTTAACAAATTTGAATATTGATAAATATGTCTATGTGTATTTTGTTACTGTTCTTAATTATATTAATTATTGTTACTGTTCTTGATTATATAAAAAAATAATAATAATTTAAATAATATTAAGTTTCTGTGCGGCAGTTTTTTATAAACATTATATTATTAAAAAGTGTTATCAACATAATGACAACACTTATAGTTTTAAGATATTACTTTTAAAAAATCACGAAAAAATTATCGGNAAAAAATTATCGGTAAATATAGGTAAATATGGGTAAATATACCGGTATTTCTGCATTTCGGTTTGCATAAGGGTTTTCATAGTATTACCCAAAAATATCGGTAAAATACCGGTATTTTGCATACCGGTATAAGTCCCTGATTTTAAGTGCAATTAATATAACAAAAAATCCAGCACTCAACATTCTCGTCTCATTTCTTTCATTTTTTAGGGGATGACAGTAATAGCTCTCGCATCGTTCTTTTTTTTAATTATTAAATTTATAAATAAAAATAGAGATTTTGAGAGGCGGTATTATTTTGTTTCCTTATATCAGAGACATCGAATAATACCAGATAAGAAGAAAAACACATGTTTTTGATAAATAAGTGGTAAAAACAATTCGCTAACGCCAGAGGTTTATTATTCAGGTGACGGTAATTGGGTCTTTTACCCTTTGTGACGAGAAAATGTTTGCGAGTACCTAAGCTTCCCCACGATTTTCTCTCCCGCGTGTTATCTTGACCGGACGTTCGCAAAAAGTCCATTAGATTCCCATCGTCGTCCTCGCAGGGCAATCTGTTTCTGCGCCGACGAAGTGTACCATTTGGTGTGATATCTGTCAAAATAAAAGGAAAGGAAATACACCGATCACATATAAGAAATTTGCTCAAACAAGCGTTGATATTTTTGATTTTATCATTTAAAATAAAATTGCAAAAGTATCTTAGCAACTGGATTTGTTTTAAATTATTGACGAATAAACATAAATTACGACGCGAATACCGGGCGAGTATGTGTCTTCTTTGGCAGATTGATCGGGTCCACCGGAGCACGATCCCAAACGACGTCGGATGCTGGGCGAACCGATGACGGACACGTCCTCGTCGGACGTGACGCCGCCGTTCTGCAATCTTCTCATCTGTACAAAAACATCGTCATAAAATTCATCCCGATCAAATCAACAATCCAAAAGTTCAAGATGCTTGCGAAACGCCGCTTGTGAAATTAATCTGTTTTTAGTCGAAAATATTGCAAATTTTAAAATTGATCAATTTATATTGGGTGCTAAACGGAGGAACTTACCTTGGGATTGATCTCACCGCGACTACAACTCCTCTGCGATAAACCGGTGTGAAGATCGAAGAGTCCGTAATCCATCAAGTTGGATTCCGATTCCGAACCCGGTGTTTCCGCTTGATTGCTCACTGCCCGGTAAAAAACTTTTTCATGTATAAAATTGTATACACATATTCGGTATATAAATTTGCATAATTAGATATAATAATTTTAATTTGTGTATATAAGTATATATGATTATATCGTCACTCCCTACGTATAATTACATAAGTGTGTCACATATGGGATTTTCAGTTTATTGCATAATGACACTTAGAAAGTCATGT